GGATTGAAATCCAGGACCTCGCTTTAACCGCTAGCTTGCAAGAACTATCGCTCTTCTTCTTCGATTATCACTGCCTCTTTTATTCCGATACACAATTTCGTTTATTGATGTGACTCCGGCTTGATTCATCTTTTAATTCTATCAAATACCATAGTGTAATTACCAACTCTCAGCTTGAAGGATGACGGTGACAATGATGAACGACGACAGCTCCAAGAGGAAACAACGTCGCCTGAAGGCGAATGGCCGGGAGCGGCAACGTATGCATGGCCTTAACGATGCCCTGGATGTGCTCAGACAGGTAATTCATCACTTTCGCAGTCACCGATTTCTGTCACCATGTGCAAACTTTTGGAAAGTGTTACGTTCAGATAAACTCAGTCTTTAAATGAAACTACTGTGAGAAATTTTCAGTACATCCCGATCACAGCACAACATCAGAAGCTGAGCAAAATTGAAACCCTCCGACTTGCCAGGTAATTTTTACTAGTTCCAACTTACTGGGATGGTTATCTTTTTTTTTTTTGAAAAACTCAAAAAGAGGAAAGCGCCGAGGATCACTGGCACGTAAGGTAGCGCTATAATAGAGTGGCCATTGGATAGAGTCTCACTCAGACCAGAGTGTGAACGTTCTTTCTAGCCATCCTGAACCTGAAAAGCGGGCCTGGTTGTGCTCCCAGACAAGGTTATATGCAGAATAGCTCATGTCAGGAGCAGAGCAGGCTGCATGAGTCTGTGGAGTCCTTGCACAGTCTGAATAAGGGCTCTTGTTCCAGTGCTTTTTACGGGGAATGGATGAGTCCCAAAACCAAAAATTTGTGCTGTGCCTTCTTCTCTTTTCCTAACAACTCCAAAATAGAGAAAAAATCGAGCGGAGACGTAGAAAAGAAGGCAACTTGGAGTCGTCACTGTTGGTCAATGTCTCTTTCGTTCAATACGACAAATGGCTCTGACTGTAAAATTGTTGCAATCCGAACAGTACTTGCATTCAATTACGAGAGTCGTGCCACATTCATTTATTCCAAACAAAAGATTCCAGCGGTTCAACATTGTGCTGAACGGGCTCAACTTTGATCCTTCAAAAAGGTCAAAGGTGTTCTGAATTACGAAGTGTACTCAATTTGAAAAATTCCAGGAATTACATCCTTGCGCTGCAGCGAATTCTCCAGACCGGACAACCACCGTCTCCACTTGAATACGCACACCAGCTATCCATTGGACTCAGTCAAACTACAACCAACATGCTGGCAACACTTCTTCAGGTATACAAACACTAAAGATCATTCAAAAAAAGTATTTCTGGCTAAATAACAATTAAATGAATATGAAGAAACATGGTAATGAAAATATTTTGTGACTGGAAACGTTTACGAATTTCCTTGTGTTCACAGTGAGAGTCCCTGTAATGCTATGCAGCTGCTAAAATACACTACTAACGTGGGGTTAATAATAAGCCATGTGGTCGATAACCGGGAATTGCTTATTGTAAATAAGCAGATAAAGCATAAAGCCTTTCGGCTTCATTCAATCCCGTCTGGGGGTTGGGCCGCGTATTTGACTTTACTTCGGAATCGCAAGAGCGTATTGGGGGCGTATATGGCCCATACAATAATTAAGTGGGTGGCCAGAAGACGCACAAGTCAGTACTTCTATCTTCCCAGACGAGAATGGTACCACTTAACTGATTCTAGAGAGATGCAAGACTTGATTTGGCTTTAACCGATACCAATCCTAGATCTGAATTCATTCATGACCATGCGTGAGCGATAGTGCACTGCTTGCCACTACACCATCTCCATCCATGAATATAATCTAGAAAATCAAACGATCTCGTGATGATTACGACGTGATCATTATGATTGTTTATGATTTGTTGACGTGATCAATGATTACATCAAGAAATTGTGATGGAACAGTGAAAAAAGACAGCTTATTAAAGGATTGATAGAAGAGTTGATGACACAGATTTTTCAGGTCCACCCACGTCTTCTACTCGGCAGCGGTTCTGCTCCACCCTGTATGGAAGCCGCCTTCCAGTCGCAACCCCACTTCATCCCTCCCAATTCACCTTACATGGACGAGTGCTTCTCCGCCTATACATACTCTGAAAATAGCGGCCCATACTACCGATTTCCAGGTTTCAGTCCAAGCATCCAGTTTAGGTAAATGATGATTATTATGATTATCCCATGATTTTATTCACTGACCAAATTATCTCGGGTATAGATGTGATGGATATTGACCTCTCCGTTAATAAAGACATTTTGATCCCCCTTTCGTAAATCAAGCAGAAAGTAAACAGATAATCGTAGGCAACGACAACATCACTTCTGCTTCTGCAACTGTAGAGCACACGGGTAACGGAACTTCTCCCCTATCGCGGCATTCTCCNGCTTTTTTATTGGATTTGATCGTTTTTTCTCCTGTTTCTTTTTCGTTTTCATGTTTGTTAGGCTTGATTCGTTGAAATGACTCCTCCTATGTAAGCGGCGATCAAGACGGCATTGAAATTGAAGAAGGCGGTCAGCCAGTTCAAATAATTAAAGGACTCCCTACCTCACAAATTGCGCGCTCCAATCTTCCATCGCAATCCTGCGATACGCGGCGGTTGCGACGGGTGCGACGCCGTGACAAGGGAGAAGTTCCCGGACCCTAGAGCACACTATACACTAGCATTTGTCGATTCGGGACAAGCGCTCCTGTATAGGTGGAAATTCGTTTCCAATTCTTGGCCTAACTGGAATGGAATAAAACTGGAATATAAAGGGTTAGGGTCTTTTGGCGTAACTCACTCTCTCTGAAGAATACGCCCACGCATTCGCCTTCCATTCAGAAACGTAGTGGCATAATGAATGCGTAGGTGACCTAAAAAGCGACGCGGTGATCAGCCGATCTACAAATCAAAGCTTTTTTCTACCAGACGGGCCTGTTCCAATCAAAGGACCCTGTAGGGGTGGTTGACATGCCTGGTCTAGGCGGCTACCGATCGGGGCTTGAACCCGTGACCATGCGTGGCTGAAGTGCGCCACGCCACTACACCAAATTCGCCTTGGAATTGAAGTATATTTCGAATACATTCACTGACCTCCAATCTGGAACTGTACGGCGTACTTTAAAGAGTCATGAACCAAGGATTAAAAGGAAGTTTTCTATACGATATGAATGCTGTCATCTAGGATTAAAGGGCTTCCTCGGGCGGATGAGAAAGGGTCAAAGCATGGGAAAGCAGCAGATGCTGGCTTATCCTTCAATGTCAAAGATTTAACTACCCTTGAAATGGTTCAAAAGGAAAAAAATCAACTGGAGTTGGTCGGCCAGCCTGTGTAGAAGGCTAATTGTGTAATGCAAATTAAACTCAAATAATAAAAAAATAGCAGGGAGTCAATTGCTGTACCATGTATATGAAACGTAGAAATCGATTGATCTCACAGACGGATGGAGTCTGTTACGGTCTGTGGGAAAGTATATGCCATGCATAAGCTTTGTGCCCTGCTGAGAGAGCGTGCGTTTAACTAGTAAGCATATGGCTCAGGCAAACCTCTAATTAGCGGCACAAAGAGACCTCCTAACTGGATCACACTTCACGGGGCCACATATGTGCAGTATTTATCAGAAGGAAAACTTTGGATTATGCGAGGAGTTTTCTGGAAGGCCTTTTTCGATGAAGTAATGATAATGATAGTAATTAAAAGAACAGCACATCGTGTCCCACCCCTTCCGTCTCCCCCAACTTCCCTCCCCCCCTCCCCGCACATTATCTACGGCACGGAATATACACTCGGGGGGAGGCCAAGGAGGCCACACTTATTCGAAACGCCGAACGATTCACGACAATAGATCCGAAATTACTACCATTTAGTAATAATAGGGACGTTGAGCGAAAATTGAGCAGTAACTGCGCGTCTCAATTAGCTTCCCATGATTTCACAACTGCTTTCGCTCGCATAAATCGAAATTTTGCGCCAAGTTCAGTGCAGATTCTGTGGGCTATCCACTTCGGATTACTTCGTAGTGAATGAATGGAGAGTCCATAATCACTGTATTCGTTCACGGCCCACAGAAAAAGTTTTGGCCTGGTTATTACAGTATACAGTAGTCGCGGTCATTACGGACAGCTACAGAACAATGCCGATTACGTCATAGTCGCTTCCTTTCAGGTGCGAATTCAGCGGATCTCGGCAGCAATTGACGAAAACAATGAATAAGTGAGCAAATTACTTGGGAAAGACAAATCGTGCGAAAGTTATGTAGACATCTGTTTCCCAGACGTTTAAAGACGCCGGAATCAATCGGCGGTAATTAGGAGTCGATGAAGTACAGAAAAGGGTTGGACCGGAATGGTATTCGTAGTGGTTGTTCATAACAATGAAGATGATCTCAAGTAGTTCGATAGGCACAACGTGAGCGCTCACTAGGCGTTTTTGTGGGAGCCTAAACTCACCTATCACACAAAATTGCGCAGTAACCTGCTAAGGTGCAGTCTTGAAGCTTACATTTCTATTAGACGGAATTTTCCTAAGCAGACGGTCATTTTAGAGACATTCAAGCGGCAAGTTTCTTACATAAAACCCATCTTACAGGCCTACAATAAGTGGGTCATCACTACGCCAATTATAATAATGGCGGCTCCAGCGCAGTTGTGGACCATGCTCAGGCTATCTTCTGTGAGAATGAAAGAAGATTATAAGGATAACCAGAGACGTAAGAAGTTGATTGAGGAAGATTCAATCAACTTCCATGTCTTCGTACACTTGATAACTTTCAATAACGATGCTTTGAAAGGTCCAGCATGCATATCCATTCGTGCCACTACCACCTTCGTTCAATCTGATGCATTTATTACATTTATTAGGACTGAGGTGGTGTAGTGGCACGTGACGCACTATTACGCATGCATGATCAAGGATCGGATCCAAACCTAACTGTGTGTGATAGTGTTCTCGCCAAGGCCAACCAAGCCTTCCATCTCTTCGGGGTCGGGATTGGTACCAGATACGCCTAGGAGGAATAGCACACTGTACCAGTAAGTTTGAGAGGATCAAAGCACTGACTTGTGATCGGCTACCTCGTCTCGTTATATAGCACAAACTTTTTAGAAAGCACATCGGCGATTACAAATGAAAATCCCATGCGGATCTGCAAAAAATGGATTGGTTAACAACGAAGGCTTTACCTTTCATTATAGCAGAGAGACGATTTGACAATAGAGGCTAGGCTGAAAATCGCGTGGTCAGCTTCTACAATGTTATAGTGGGCCAGAAGCGTTTGCATTATCATTCTTCTCCCACAAGGAATTGGAACATTTTACTACCCACGCAAATTTTGATAATGCCGTCCTAATCGTTGCTCCAAACTGAAATCGCATGAGCGATAACATTACCCTCGTCTCCTAGACGTCAACTGCCCACAACAAACGTGTTTTGGAGCGAGCCCACCTCAACATTTAACTAGTTCATGAAGAAGGCAAGTAGTTATACAAAAGGTTGAATTCGGTCTCATATGAGGAATAAAAGTTCGGCAGAACTCATCAACTGTATTCTGAACCTAATCATACGCTCCTTTCAGTAGTGAAACAGATTTCGCAGCGCAGTAGTAGCGCAGTGATTCAAATAGGAATAAGCATCACGAGTTAAAGATAACCATAGCATGTTGTGCTTACCGGAAGACAATGGGGTAGCCTCCGGATGACTAGCGAACGGGTAAGTGAACGAAACGGCATTTCTTGTAGAGTCATGAATTAAGTCTCTTTATGTCAGATCTCTTACTGGGAAGTTTTAAGAGGTTGCTAATTTGATGAGTAGCAGATACATTCTAGCTATGCTTTTGGGAAACAAGCTGGTAAGGAGCAAAAGTCGTAGAAATTGGAGAGGTTGTCGGGCTGTACTACATTGAAGTCATCGTTGATTTGACTATAGCATAGGAGGAAGACCTCGAAGGCTCAAGGGCTCAGACTTTGCTCTCAACACCGATCAAATTATGGCTGTGAGAATCAACATGAGAGAGGGGTACTGTACAATAATATCTGAAGGCGTAGCGCAAGACGGTTGCTCTCAATACGAGACGAATGATTTTCATCCAAGTTTTGACAAAGTCTATGGATCAGTTCCAGAAGAGACCACCGTTTTGAAAAGTAACAGAGATACCTACGAAAGATTTTCAGAGGTGGGGGAATCCGAAACGAAGATGGATAGAGACATCTTGAACCGGGGGCAGCACACGTTTTAACAGTATGTATAACACGATAGGATAGTATTGAGGGACGATCTTCTTACAAGCA